GAAGCTATTTTTTGGAGAATGTTCTGCTGTTTAATTCCTGACTTCAAACTATCTTCTTAAATTACCAATTTTGGTAGAATATGGAATCTTTTGAAATATGTCTTTTGATATTTTGTAGAACTAGATTAATTTCAGAATTACTTATTTTTATGTTGAAGTAACTTAAGCTGTAGGAGGGATAGATGAGAAGATAACATAATTAGAAGAAATCTATGGCAACAGTCTGTGCACTTCACGAAGCTTAAGGATTATTATGTCCCTTCTCAAACTTTAAAAATGTACTGGAGCAACACAGCAATGATATGAAAAGCCAACAGTCTCACTACTTTTTTTATTTATGAACGTTTTTTTTTAAAAATGTCAGAACAGTGGAAAAATAATTCTTCTGTGCATATTTAGATATGAGTTTCTCACGGTCTTGTGTTCCAAAAAGCAAGAAGATGGAGTGTCTCATCTTGGGGGTTTTGATTCAGGGGGTGCATGGCCCAGTTATACTTAAGCTTGAAAGAAATTACTGCTCTACAGATGTATTCCATTTGGGGATTAATAACACATATTGGAGTTTCCTTAGAGCTTTACAAATCAAGGAACTCTAAGGCAGCTAAAATCACATAAACTATTTACATGGTGTGCGTATATTAAGGAGTAAGAAATAATTTTCATTTTCATTTGTAGAGAAGAAGGAGAAAGATCAGAAAAAATAAAAGTTGAGGCTGCGTTTAAAAGCTGAGTATAGGTAGGGACAGATTTTGCTTCTTCAGGACACATCTGTGCATGCATTTAAGGACAAGAACCCTAGAGGAACCTATTTAAGGAGCCCTTCAATGGCATCCAAAGACCCCAGCTCCTTCCCAACACCTGAATTTGCCTTGCTTTGCAAATTGCAAGCAATATGTCTTCAAAGTCTTCTACAAACTTCTGTTTGTTTCTTCAAAGTTTATGATTTATTTTTCACTCAATACAGTGGATGTGATTTATTGCCTGTTTCACAGAGGGAATGAGCCTTAAATTGCTAAAGGTAGATGTGGGCAAAGCTGAGAATAAGTGTGTGACAATTGATTTCAGGGGTAAAGGGAAGTTTTATGGAGGCTGTGTCTGATAAGGCTAACTCTACTTGGACAAGGAATACCTCTTCTTTTCAACATGAGCTCAGAAGGATGGGCTTTGAATTGTACAATTAGCAGTGTGAATAACACTATGTTTTAAGTTGAAGGTTGCAAGATTGGTCTGAATTCCACGGAAGTTAGTGAGGATATGCCACTTGCTTTCACAGATTTAATGTGGTTTTCAAGGCTCTCAGCCAGGACAATGACTGGCGCTCTTAGTAAAAGGGAGAAGGAGAGGTTGATGAAACAGAATAAATAGGTGAAAAATTGCCCAGCCTCTCAGAGGAAGAGCAGGGCTTGCCTCAGCCTAAATGTGAGACCAGATCAATTGCCTGTATGACTGTTCCCATTAAGTGCTCATGAAGGTAGGACTTGATAATTTTGATGAGAAACTCTTGAAGACTCTCAACTTAGCATTTGTGACTTTTTGCCACTATTCACAATACAGTTTAAAAGGCAGAAGTGGGTTGGCATGGTATTGCAGTGTCCAGTGCAGACTTAGAGAATCCCCTTTGCATCCCACTGTGCAAAGGAGAGCTCCTACAGATGTTGGGATTCAGCTGGCAGCACAAAATAGCTCCAGTTCACCTCCAGGTGTGTGAGGTGAAAGGTCTGCTCATGTCAGCCTCCTGTGTTTGCCTGGGCTTCCTCTGGGGGCTGTCAGGGCTCAGGTTTTGAGTTCAGCCTTGGCACTGTGCACTGGAGAGGATTCTGGTACTCAGGGGTAGTCTTGTAGTGAAAACACGCTTCTCAGGTACAAGGATGCTTTTAGCCATTTGTGCTGTTCCTGTTAAGACCCTGCATCCCTCACCTGAAGGTAGTTTTCTCATGTTAGGTGTGAGTATCTAGAGGAACTGGCTCTGCTCTGGGCAGAATTTTCCACACTGAGGGAGAGAGCAGAATTATGAGCTGTTAAACATATAGGCAATGACCTTATTAAAATCGGTGTACCAGGAAGAGCTATTGAAGTGCAGTGCCTTATTCATATAATTTAGGTGCCTTAATGAAATATGTATATGTATGCAGATTCCCAGTTGTTTCACTCGACCCTGAGCAAGGTGTGGAGAGCAGAGATTTGATATACACTGTTGTTTGCATGTGCAAATGCATGCACACTTGTTTGAACACCTGGGCCTTGGAGGAGAGCTCGTTCTGCCTTCTTGGGTGGTGGTCTGCTGCTGTGCTGGCTTGTCTTTGGAAGCTGCTCTGTCTTACAGTGCCATGATAAATTACAGCCCTTCCTGATTATCTGCTGTCATCTGGCCCCTGGTCACCGAAGTGAAACCAGCAAAAGATCACATTTCTTCCTACTGTGCTGCTATAACACATCCCTATGATGCTGTAGGCAAAACCCTCGTTATAAATTTTTTATTCAGTCATGCTTATAATGCCACCTCTACTGAGCCTGCAGCACAGGACATCCAGGTAGAGAGGAATAGCCCAACTCTAATTTTGCTCCACATATTTGTCACTCTGATAGCAACAAAAGTTCTTTGCCTCTTTGTTTGATTTCTTCTGCTTTTTGTTTTTGTTTAACCGGGCACTGGTTTTGTACAACTCATCTGAAAGCCACTTTCAGTCAAAGGTTTATGTAGTTGTTTAGTAATGTTATAATTGTTTGAAGGGAAATTCATTCTTATGTACTGAATGAGAGTGGAAGGCAGTTAAATATAATGACAAAAGCCATCATAGGAAGAGATTATGCTTTTATTACAAAACCATGCTTGGAGTGTGGCCTCAAACCAATGTGGGATACTCTGACAATGGTTTGGCAGGGTGGGGCTGGGGATAAGCTTATCTCAGAAAAGGACTTACATATAAATTTTTCTCAATTCATGAATAATAAGTTATATTTGCGAACATCAGACTGAACAGACTGAGGCTAGGATTACAAGTTCTTTTGCCATGTGAATCGGCACTGTTAATAAAGATTTCTGTATGCCAGATGATGCCTTCATTTATACCCAATTCCAGTGTGTGCACCCTCTGCCCTTGGTTATAGGCCAGTGGGGTGGGCCCTGGCATTGAAATGCAATTATCCAGCAGTACCTGATGTACAGCCCAGTTTGTTTCTCTAGTATGAGCTCTGTAGTGCTAATAAAAGTTAAAAAATTAACATCAGTGAATGAATGACTGAATTCAGGATTGTCTGCAGTGATTGTGGCAGATGAGGTCTCTTGCAGTAGCTGTGCCTATCTTTCATCTGTGAATATTTGACCTTTTCCTGCTGCCTGGTGCACGAGCTCCTTGCCTGATAGGCTGTCTCCCAAAAAAACCAAGACTGGACCCAACATATGCAGGTTCCTGGACTGTCACAGGGTTTGGGTTTGTCTCCTACTGTAACAAAGTTGGGCAGATATAGCCTATAATTACTGAAGTGCAAATATATTTTTAATACCAGAACACTGTAAAATAGGGGTTTGGTCTTATTTCACAGTATAGAAAGATGTATTTCTCAATATCTGTACCTGCAATAAAAATGGAAAAAGAATGAATGAATGTAGACTTGAACATAGCCTCAATCAGGAATTGGTTTTGCACTGCTGTAAACAGGAGTAGTTTGAATGCATAAATTGGAATTGTGCAAATATTTTAAAGCAACAGCAGATACCTGCTTAGCAGGCATCTGTATAGCATTTATCTCAGTATTCCAGACAAATGCTGATTATACAATACTTGCTTGTCTTTGAAAAACACAAATCATTAGAGTTGGAGAAATTACTTAGTTTTTCTTCTTTATCCAGAATATTTAGAAAATAATAGCTATATTTTAATAAACACTAAGGAAAAGTACTCTATTTTTAAAACTTGCAAAACTGACAGAAATTTTCATTGTGATTCTTGGGACTATGAGCTGGGCTTGGAAGATCCTTGTGGGTTTCTTCCAAATTAGGATATTCTAGGATTCTACTATGGAAGCAGGTGTGTCACAGTTGCTGTCTTTTACCATGTACACATTTATTCTTAACTTGAATGTGGTGAGCAAACAACCCAGCCAAAACTGCCAAACCTTCTGCCTTCTTTTGCAAATAGATTGCAAGTCTGGTGCTCCACAGAAAAATAATCCCAATGTTTAGAGTTGCAGGTTCATGAGCACTGTGGCATTTTGGCATGGCTTTCACACTGACACATGGCACCCTTGTCTGGTAATGGTTGTCATTTTTGAGTTTTTACATGGAATCCCAGCCGACTAATGAGTTTCTTCACTTGAGCACTGCAGAAGTCATAGGCAGAGCTGTGGAGTCACTGCTACACCTTTTGTCTGGAATGTGTCCTCAGGGAAACTGCAAGACACCATAAAAGGAAAAGCAAGCTAATGTCTTTAGTAACTGCAATTATTCAGAGTTTCATTGTTTCAAGTCACCTGAAATGTGACACCTTCAGCAGCACTGGAGGCATCCTGAGCATAAAAGCAACTGGATCAATATATGTTCAGAGAAAGCAGATGTACCTCTCGTCACTGGCATTTCCTGAATGATCTCTGTTGCATCTTGCTCCTCCTTTCTTTCTGATCTAAAATTTCAGATTACATTTTCCAGCAGAACTTGTCTTCTTCCCACATCTTTATTATATGAAGATACCAATACTATTGCTTAGCTTGTCTTCTGCATGTTTAATTTCTGTCGATTACATCCGGAGACGTTTGATTGACTGGTGTGAGTCGATTCTTCCTAATGGGGCTGCTGGGTATTGCAGTGCCAAAGCATTTCAAAAATTCATTGGAAGCAGGAGCAGAGGACCAGGTTAGTACTTTGTGGCTTCAAAGCTGTGCACAGCAAAATTTAAAGTGAATATGTCTAAGATACTCCCGAAGAAGTCAACAAACACACAAAATATTTGAAGCTCTCAGATATAAAGACCTATTTTATAAATGAAATGTGAGCTGGGCATATATTTTCCCATGAATGACAACCTGAATTTGTTTATTGACAAATCAGAGCCTTTAAGTGTCATGGAAGGGGGATTATGATTCCTGTGTGTGTGAACTGGTACTGCCAGCTTTTCAGCTTTGCTCTCTCTTCATCATGGCTGTTAGATATAGGCCTGTGAAAAAAAAAAAAATTAAAAATTGGTATGATATTTGAAGGTATTTTGATAAATATTTTCAAAGTATAGCTATTTCTTTACTTCCAGTTTCTGAAAAAAAAAAAATCTTGGCATCTTTTCTAGTTGCAAGTTGCTTTGTTCTCAGTTAATCTCTCTTCCCCCTCCTGCTGGACAGGTACCATGTGCCAATAATTTCATAGTTGTGTTTTGGAAAAATACTCTATTTCTTGGTGGGAAATAGAGCAAACTAGAATACAATAACATAACATATAGGAGGATTTTTCAATACTAAAAATGAGGTAAATTAGACCAGAATTGTTTGTTTTTTTTCCATTTCCCCTTTGTCAAAACCAGAAATATATTTTCAGTCTGTAGCACAAAACACAGTAAAGTGTCTCATTAGTGGTTTTACCTCCTGTTGTGATTTATGACTTCATATAGTATTTTTCTTACCAAAGCAGCTCCTTGGGAAACAGCATGTGTATGTTAATAATTTGAGTTCTTTTTAAGTAAATAATATTTTATTACTCAGTGTTAAATATAATTATATATATTTTGGAACATTGCAGTTAAATTGCATGTAAAGTTTTCTGAACACAGCATTTTTTGATAGGTCATATTTAGCAATTACATTTCAAAGTAACAGTATAGCATCTTGTCAGTGTTGAAAGCACTTAGAATCTTTGTGTTGGATATAGTGGATAAGATTTTGAAAGTTAATATTTTTATTAAAAATATTGATAAAGCTAAAAGTTGGCTTTCCCCCCATTGTTTATGAAGTATCTAAGCAGTTTCTGGCTGCCTACAAGTTCCATCAAGCAAATTTATACTTTTTGAACTGAAACTCTGTGTGATTGAGACTGAAATAAGTGGTAAATTCAAAGTGAATTATTTCAACTGCTAGTATACTTAAATGCAAACCTCCTATAAATCCTGCACTGATTTGTGCAGAATATTATTAAATAAATTTAATGGACTTCTTGATTCTACATAATATAATTTGCAGAGTATCAGGAAGGCCTTAGACCTCTAAGCATAAACAATAAATAACCCTCAGTATCTTGGATTTATTTTCCTTGTTTTATTGATCTGTTTCCTTTACTGTGCTAAAGCAGTTATTATAGTGTATTGCTATGCATCAAGCCTGCATGTTGTCTTATTCAAGAAACAAAGCTACTGGTTAGTTATGAAGCAGAGATACACCCTTTTGTGGGTCTTAATTACCAGCAAAAAACAAAATGAATATAGCATTTGGGGACAGGCATGCACTGATAGTCACAACATCTTTGGTTATATTCATGGAGGGGGAATAGAAATGGGTTTTCACAACACCTGCAATGGTAGTGCAGACTGTGCTCTGGGCAAGCACTGGTGTCTTAATCCCTGGAAATCACGTGAATTGGAAGGAATTTCAAATATGTTTTTGATTTAGCAAAGCTCTGTATTTATTTGGCTTGGTATTATGTTACAAGTATCCTAAAATGTTTCTTCTATTGATGTCCGTGGCTAACTAAAATCCCCAGGAGCTTTCCACAGATATTTAGAATGCCCTAAGCTGTAAGTATTTAAAATCAAAACAATTTTCATGCCTAAAAAGAACTGAATTAATTATGGCCCACAGCAACATGGACCTCTGTATATGATGAGGGAGACAGCAGAAAAATATTCTTCATTCCTTCAATGAAGGATGTGATATTTCCATCTTGTTGTGTTTGGTGTTGATTATATTCCTTTTGCAAAGTTCATTTAGTCATGGTCATTTTCATGCTGCCAGATGCTGGCTGTTTGGAATCTGTGGGATGATGGAGAAGGAGAGAGGTTGGAAAAAATGAAATATTGGTAACTTCTAAGGGGCCGGAGATGGGCATTTCAACTTCTGTCTCCATTCCTTCTCATCTTAGTCATGACTATCTAAAACAGTAATTTCTATCTATTTTGGAAATCTCCGAATTTTATTTTGATAGTCCAGTGTTCCGTAATTGGAAGAATGAAGGCTGCAGATCTTTCTGAGCTTTTCCAAGTGTTAAGACAATTCTATAATTAAAAAAGTGCCAGGATATACAATGAGAAACTCCTGAATGCATGGTTGGATGGAAGCATTATTTCGTGCAGTTACTGAAGGATCCTGAGGAAGTCCATAACCTTCCCTGTAATGAAATGGAATCTGGATGGCAAATAAAAAGGCCCAAGAATGTCAGTAAGCAAGCAGCCAAAGCTTCTGCCTGTGCCTCCTACAGTCTGAAAGCAGCAGAGCTCTCCAAAATATCTCCCGTACAAGACCATGTTGCTCAGGGCTCTGATATTCAAGCTTCTGTGAAATTGTTGTTGCTATTTATTCAAGCCTGAGGGTTTTAACCAAGTGCTTGTACCAGCAGCCTTTTGTGCCTGATATGGATTAGTAAAAAGAAGGAAAATATGGAAAGGAAGAGTGATCAGATAGCCAGTTATATCAACTACAGATTAAACTAACTTGGATATATTTTTCCTGAGTGCCTCACTAGTGGTTTATTATTTAGGTTGCTGGTGTATACTGCCTCTGAGTAAACATCCTACAATTCTGTTAATTAAAAAGAACCTCTGTATTCATTAATGTTGTAGACATTTATAAGCATAACTTCAGCTTAATTGTGGCTGCTGCCCTTTGGCTTCATGAGCATAACGAGGGAGAGAATATACAGCTGCTACTTCATCCTGAATGCTGCAGGCTTTTCTCTTGACTTCATCTCATAAACACTAAATTAGAGCTGGATATTCTTAAGGTGAAGGCAGCAAGGACAATTGTGAGTGTGGGAATCTTTGGTCTGATAAAGTACTTTTTTTACTGGAGTAAGTTGTATGAAGGGTATTGAAGGGTATTTAGAAAACCATAATATGGGAAAAGGTGAAGAGCTTTTTTTTGTTTTGGTTTTTTTTTTAAACTCAGGAAAACCCTACATTATCTCAAATTTATCAAATATAATTTTCAAAGAAATAATAGGAAGTTACTAAACATGTTGAACTTATTGGTAGGACCTGTGGGTGTGAAAAAAAGCATAAACTAATAAAAAAAAATTAATTAGGAAGTCATCAGGGACATTTGTCTGATATAGGATTGTTTTTCCTCTTGTAACTCTTGGAGGAGTTTTTGCTGTAATAGTAACAGACATAAAGATGGACTTTAGACTGGTTACTTTTCTTTCTGTTTACATTATTGCACATTCAAAGCATGAAATAGAATTACAAATCAGTCATTTTACATCTCCAAAACATGATGTTGACTTAAAAATCATGATACTTGAAAGAAAAATAAAGATTGGGTTTATTTTGTCTTTCTGATGTTAGATCCCACAAAGTTTGTATAATCTTTCTTAAAACCATATCTTTCCTCTGGAGGCATTTCAACTCTGGAAAATTGAAATTCTTATGAAACTGGAAATGAGGACATTAAAAAACTCCACTAAATTTCTTTAGGGACAACATTTTTTCTATGTTTTCTTGAAGGTTTGCCTGCTCGCTCCTAATATAATCCTAAGTGGATTCAAAAACTTACCTTTTGTAAAATAACACAGAAAAGCATCATCAGAGTGGAAGTCTGGGCACTTGAGGCATTGGGCTGAGCCAAGCATGGCCATGAGCAGCAGCAGTGGTGATTTTCCTCAAGCTCCTTGGTGGTCCTGCCCTCCTCCTGCTGTATCACCTGAGCTGCTACTCAGGCAGTGCCTGATCCTGCTGAGTTGCTGGAGGCTCATGTCAGAGCTGGCAGAAAGCTGACAGGGACTCATCATAGCTTCCAAAAGCCACTGGTTTCATTAATGTTGACAATAGAAGGTATCCAGGCTGGGTTGAATTCTTTTGCAGTACAGGGATCAAGAGGGTGTTTATAAGGATGCCTGCCACCCTTGGGAACAGTTTTCCCCATAGGAGGTGACTTACTCATGAGTAGGGGTAGAAACAGGATAGTGTGATAAACTTTCAGGGGTTTATAAGATTTGAAAGCAAGACAGAGACTGAAGAAAGTACGTGGGAGGTAAAAATGACATAAGGCTGCAGAGGGGGCCAAGAAAATTATCTGTAAAAAGTTCCAAAGTGTGACTGATATTGTCACATGTTTTGGACATTGGGGGTGTTTGCTTTCTGATCCAAAACTTTTTTAAGTTAGTGAATTTACTTTATGGTACCTGAGGAGGGTCGGGCTGTGGGTTGTTTAGTTTAAGGTTTTTTTATTGTCCAGATGCAAAAATCGTGAAACCTCTGTGAACTCCTAAGTTTTTTTGGTTCTTCAGCACATCACATGGTGCTAGCAATCAAAACAAACATGAGTGTCTGCCTGCCTCCTTTCAGTAACAGTTGGGAAAGAAATACAAGAAATGATGTTTTAATTATTAGCAATGAGATTGGTGATTAAAAATGGCTTGATGGAGAAATTTAACAGAAGCCACAGCTACTGACTCTATGTGACAGATACTGACCTAATTTTCTGGCAACTAAGAGCCATAAACATCATCCTTGATGTATCAGACTCAGCATCTGGTAGGCTGTCTTATAACTTTTAAAAATTAATGCACAGAAGGATAAAGAACTGTACATCAGCATGTGTTTGTTTTCTATCTAGATGCAAATGTTACATCCTCTCACAAGCCCATAAATATATTGTAGAACTTAAAAATAAAAGATCTTTCATCATTGATATGGTCATGTGAAATCCCAGTATTTCCTTGTTTGTGATATTACATACTGTTTGCTTAAAAAAATAATCTCTGAACATATATCAGATGTTTATGATTGTCTCCACCAGCCAAAATATCATTCTTTATTCAGACGAATAAGCAAGGCTTTAGATTTATTAATACCATCTTTTTAATGTTGCACTGAAAAGGGCATCATGTCTGTGGTTGAAAATGTGGTAACTTCAGGGAATTTGTGACCATTGTTGCTTTGTCATTCTAAAGACATTGATTTTTTTTTTTATATTAATCTACAGCACAAGGTTTGTGGCTCATTGGTTATGAGTACTGCATGTTTATATAGAAACAACAAAATGCCAGACTGTAGATGAATTCAAGCTTTTGGGCATACTTAAGCAAGCACTGGGCATTTTAAGACTGTTTGAGCAGTCTGAATGTCAGGAATCTTTCTCAGAGTACCTTTGATGAAAATACAAAATTTTGCACAGAAAGTCTTGTGTTTGTTGATCCAGTATCCACAGAGTCAGTTCGTATCTTAAACACAAACATTTGGAGATGTAGGTAGTAGCTCTATTATTTCTGTGGCAGTAGCACCTATTAAAGGAAAAACTGACTGCAATCCATTATTTTGAAAATATGTGCATTACTGAATGTCCCCTTTCTCTTTCCTTCCCTCTCTACCCTGTACTCCCGCCCCCTGGATTTTGGAGATCCTAAGGATAGGCACTGTGAAAATATAAAATGCATAGCTGCTCTGTGCAGTGCAAGGATTGCTGCTACTCCTAAAGATTTGTTCTTCCTGTTTGCTACTTGGAAAAAAAAAAAAAAAAAAAACCACGCAGTGCTATTCCCATGCAATAATTCAGCAATGCTGCAAGTAGTTAGTGTATTGAAGCTTGCATTTGAGTTTAAAATGTGAAGTAAAGCCTTAAGAAAATGCAGTGAAATGTCCTGAGCAGTGGCACGGTGCAAAGCAGGAAATCTCCTGCACACAATAGAGATTAAATGCTCCCTGTGCATACTGTATTCTGCTCAGCCCTCTGCGCTCGGAGCTGGGACCGTGGCAGTCGTTATCTCCAGCGGGTTCCTTGGTGATTTTCAAGCCCTGCACTACCTACCCAAGTGGCAGTGACACCAGCTTTCACCGAAGCCTTATTACTCTTAAAAGAGCAATTTGGTTGGTTGCACAGCTATTAGGATCAGACAGTCAGGCTTAAAGCTGTCAGTACAACTGCTTCTCATCTTTTTTCACAATCCTGACATCTTTTCTCTTTTCTGCTGGACACAAGCATTACTGTATTTATCATTTTCAATCAAGCTCACGCTGCAAGCTGAGGAATATATTCCCACAGAAACCAAAGTGAGGAGCAGAAATTATTTTATAGCTGCTGTAGTAGCAGCGGTGCTGGCTGCATGTTGTGTGGGAGAAATCGGATCAGTGAGAAATGTGGCTTTCCTCAGGGCTACATCATTGAAAAATTACTTCAACGTCTGAGAGGAGCAAAGCTACTCCTTGCTCTAATTTTTCAATGATTGATCACTCTTCCCTAAGTAAATACAAAGTGGGGAAGAAGATGTGAGATTTTTTTAATTTTTTTTTTTTATATTTTTTTACAATAACTTGTGGAAATGTTGGTATCATTGAAAAAGGGGAAAATCACTATGCTTGAACTTCTTTTCATTTTGATGTTGCTCTTCTCTGGACCAACCCTGAGCAAGCTTAGCAGGACCAAAGGCAAACACTGGAAGGGGGGTAAGTGGAAAGGAAAAGTTTTGTAATGGATGTTTGGGTAAGGTACTAAAAAGCTGCAAAGCTGCATTAAAAGTAATCTAAGGAGAATACCTGTGCTATTTTGAGTGACTCAGATTTCAGGTTGCTGTGTGGGCTTGCAGTAGGATGCTAAAAAGAGAGCATGGAGTTTAATTTGTTTTCTTGTTAGTTTGCTTGGCTGACTCTGGGTAAGGTATGTATTCCTTGCAGGAATTTTGCTTTGTATTTTACCATTATCAGAATAATGTTTAGGGCCTTGATACAAATAAATGCATGCCATTTAGAAATTTAGTGATTTTTTTGGATTGTTAGAATTCAGATTGTTCCTTTCATTATGAAGCCTCTGGAACTCTTGTGGCTTTGCTGGAAGTGATGTTACCCCTGTCACAGGGGGCTAGAGTGTTGGAGGAGAAGAGAAAGAAAGCAAGAAGCCTATTTTGAGTGCAGAATTGTTAGTATACGAGGTAAAAATGACTAGACGGACATTTTTTTAGAATACATGGATGTTATGAAATGCACTGCCAGCAGCACTAATTGGCTGACTGGCTATGTCAGTGTTGATGTGTTAATAAAGATAAATTGCATTAAGTTTATCAAAAAAAATGCTATGTTGAGAAAACATTTATGATTTCTGAAGGCAGTAATCCATTTTCCTCTTCTGTTAAAAACTGCTGGGAAGATTTACCCTATGTGTGCTGTGAGCAGTTCACTAAATGTGCCTTTTCATAAAGTTCACTTTGTTTTGCTTCCTTGCATGACATTTGTTTATGGAAAACATGGGTTATTGAGGTCTCATAATCTAATATAGCTCAGTGAGCATAAATGGTATCTCATAAATATTTGGACTGAGGGACTGTGGATTGTAGATAGTTTGATATTTTCTCCCTGGTTGTTTCTTGATGTTGCTGATTGGAGGCACCCCAAGGATTTTTTTACTTTATTTTTTTTTCCTTACAAGTGTTGCCACAGCATGGTGTGTTTATCACAGCTTTAATAGCACTTCCAGTTTTTCTCTGCTGTCAGTATTGTGATCTGAGGTTAAAGAGTAGCATCAACATTAAAAAGAAGTTTTAATAATTTATCACAACATCTCAGCAGGAGACTCCTCCCTCCCCCCTTGACATTTCCTTTTGTTGCATTTAATCTTCCACCTACCGTACCTTCAAGGGAAAAGTTGCAGCACACGCTTAACCTGGATTGTTAATGCAGCACATATATCTGAAAATTATTTCCTGGTCCTGTAAATCACATTATCACATGTAGCTCACAGTGCTGCTGCTGGGTATCCTCGTTGCAAATTACAAGCTGTTATTTACTCTGGGCAACATGACCTCTTCTCAGAGGTATGTGACTTAGGAATATATGTCACTGTCAAGTTCCTGGGATTTAAGAAATGCTGTTAACTTTTTTCTCTTTCTCCCATTTTCAATTAAATCTGGTAAATGAGGGCTAGATTGCTTTGGTCTCTTACCTACTCTCAAGCAGAGGCAAAGAGCTGAATTTTTATCATGGGTAGAAAATACCCTATGAACCTGACTGCAGAAAATATCTTAATATGGGCTTTTGCTGTTCCAAGAAATGTTGTTTGCAGCTGAAACAAAACATAAGGAAGATACCTGCTTCAAGGAGGCTAAGAAGCAATTTGTCTTGTTTGCTCGGAGCTCTGAATCAGCAAAACCCTGGCATCCCTGCTGCCCAGTGGCTTGTTTCATGTGTGGCAGCACTGGGAGTGCTGTGTGACTTGAGGAGGATGCCTGCTTTCTGAGAGCTGCAAGTTCAGGATCTGTCAGATCTGGACATTGTTGTAAGCTCATGTAGTTTCTGAGTGTTTCTGACCTCCAAAACAGAATGTGTGCACCTCCCCTTTCTATTAACCATTAAGGATCAGCTTTTGCTTGTATCTCAGTGATCTGAGTTGTTTCTGTTGCTGTGCACATGGAATTCAGGGTGTTGCTTGGTGGGAGGTCACCATGCAGACTTCTCCACTGCAGCTCATTGAGAAGTCTATCCCAAAATGGCAGCAGAGATTTATTTTATTCCTATTCTTATGAGACTGCAGACAGCCAGAGACCTGCATACCAACTTCCAGCTGTTGTTCAGAGGGGAAGGGTGAAGCTGGATATGTTCACCTGGAAATGCATTGGATGACTCACAGTATTACCTATGCTGAAATGAGTTGCATGATGGATAGACACAGCTGATTTAGACC